CCCCCCCCCCCCCCCGCCCCAGTCACCTGTGCTAAAAACCATGTAAGTTTTACCTTTTTGTCCTCAGATTCAAACTGAGGCAGCATCAGGCTTATCTGTCTCATCTTCACCTTGACTGTTTGTTGCAGTTCCTGGTCAATATTAGTCAATTTTTCTTTTCTGCAGCCTGTGGGGAGCATTGTGGAAGTGAACTTCATGCATGAGCCAGTTCACAACCTTTAAAAAAGGAAATATGATCATACACAGAGCAAATGCTGCAAAGAGGGTTGTTTGGGGGGGTGTCAGGAAGGCAAGAATCCTATCTTCATCAGCCTGTTCATGGGTGACTTTGCATTTGACTTTGTATTTTCATTTCAACTTTCATTTGAACTGTGGAATGGACTTCAAGAAGAAGAGGCTTGGGCCCAATCAGCCTGAGACTTAAACATTAGCCACTGATAACATGGATGCTACTATCGTCAATCTTTGAAAAGTACTGAACAGAGTGGTGCCTATGAGCTGAGTGTGCTTGCATGGTAGAAACACTGAAGTTGCTTGTATTCACAGAAATAAAACCGAGTCTGTTTTGACAGCAAGAAGGCCTAATCTATGTATCTGCCCTAAGTCAGACCTGAGTCTTATCTATTTTTTTTTTTTTTTACCAACGGTATCCACTTAATAGACATAAGCCAGACTTCTGGGCAGGAAATTTGAACTGGTCGTGCAGCATATAGACAGCTATGGGGGAAGCTTATTGGTGGCACTTTATGGGGAGGTTATTCAGCACTGTAATAGCTGTTGGAATAGCTGGAAATCCAAGAGGCCTGGAGACTAACCAGTGCAGTTGTGTGCATCACTCCTAACTTCCCTTTTTCTCTCCCTTCTTTTCCCCTTCTCCCCCTGCACAGAACAATTCGAGTATGGCTGAAGAGGGACAGTGGGCAGTACTGGCCCAGTATTTACCACACCATGTCATGTAAGTATCAAGGTCTCTCAACATCTGGAAACTTACTCTTGCCAGGCTCAGCCATACATAAGGCTGTAGTTCTACGGAGCTGATGTAACAGCCATTTGCTATTGTTTTTGTTCATATATGAAGCCCCCTCTCTTCCTTCCCCCATATAGGTTTAATTAGAAGGGCAGAGAGATGTTTACCCAGGTATTGCAGAGAAAACTGATTTGAAGCCCATCCCACACCAAAATATGTCCTAGTAATTGCAACTTAACTAATGTAGAAATCTATATGATGAAAGAGACTCTGGCTGTGTCCTCCTGAGGATGTGTTGTCCCACTTTAATTCCTTCTCCCCCTGCCTACCCGCCCCCCCCTCAGTCTTCTTGTTGCCATATTGAAGGGTGCAGATTAAATCAAT